AGCTATTGCCAGCCGCTGGTGCCAACGCATGGAAATGCACGATTTGCCCCATATATCACTGTTTTTACGCTTGATTATAAGTAGAGTTAAAATAAATGCTTTTTTTGATAAGTATTGCTTGAAGCCCTGCCACCACAACTAAAAATGGAAACTCCACCTTCAGAGTTGAATCAGCTGATCCAGATACCAATAACCGACTATCCGCCGACCATGCGACTTGATAGACCGCGTTGACATGACCTCTTAATATGTAATAGTAGGAAGTTTACCGTCCGGAAGCCAAGAAAGTATTTAGAATTGGACCCTAACAAACCTTAGCGATGCAATAAATTTCCCAGTCTTCCCGCACCACAACTTTACGGACTTGTCAAATGATGCGGAGGCAATATACCGAGTGTCGGGTGAAAATACAACCTGTAATGATTTACTGTAGAAGTGAGCGAGACGGAGGGAGGAGATCAAACCTGATTCACTAACTGCTGATGACCAGTAAGCCTTGCCACAGCATTTTTAGATTTTGATGGAACCCAAAGAAACATTGTGAAATCATCCGAGCCACTGACTAATCGCTCTTCTCCGCAAACTCTGAGAGCATCTTCGTATCTTTTCTGAGCAACTGCTCGACACTGCAAAAACATCTTAAACATCCTCAACCAGTAACCACATTAAAACATGCAGCATACTTCGTCATCTCCTTTTGGCCTATTACAACCAGTCTTGGGATCAAAGCAGCTTGTTCGCAGCGCATAATCTGTGTTTAAAGCTAGCGTGTTGACCCAGTGCGCGTGTCCGAGAAGATTACGGCAGATAATCCCATCGCTAGCACGCCACACTTTTACTGTGCGGTCCTGCAATAAATGGCATGGGACAAGATATCATAGTACACAAAGGCAGCGTCCCGGCAAAATGGTGGGTAGGAATTTTGAAGCTTTGCAGTGGCAGGCCCCCGACTAATCCATCAGTGAAGTCTGGAGAGAAACGCTTCTGGGAAGCGTGAAAGATGCTTTGAAAGTCCTAGGGACCCGCCTACTTGCACTTGCAGCGAGCGTGATCATAGAGAGATTCGACAAAGCTCATTTCGCCATTTTCGTGCTCTGCAAAGCCCAGATATGGGTACAGCACAGCAGGCGAGATTTTGCCGCCGGGACACTGCCTTCAATGAACGGATAAAAAAAGCTGGAAGCCCTGTTAAGAACAAAGGGAATGAGTTGAATCCTACAGACGCTCAATTACCTGAGATCCGGAGTAAATGAGACCTTCTCCTCCCCATCGTATGCTTGTCACACATGCTGTATGCCCTAAACAGTGTGCTCGAAAACATGGTAAAGTCAATGGTACAAAAATCAGAGTATGAGAAATGAATAAAATATCGCAAATTAAGAGATGATGCCAACTAACCACTTAGCGACCGCACTACGGTTCCTTGGATGGTGTCCCAAATGAGAATATTGCCATCCTTTCCAGCGCTAGCAAGAAGCCTGAATAGCCATCAACTCACGCTTGTTCTTTCAATAGTGTTCATCATAAAAAGCGGAATTAGCTACCTGCATCTGGGATCCTGATGCATGGGCTCCCAAGCAAGATGGGTGATCCACTGCTTGTGCCGTTGCAGAGTTTTTCCTATCTGAGTGCCAGTTGCAGCATCCCAAATCATGATCTAAAGCATTTTCAATTAGCGCTAAACTGTGAGACTCTGAAAGACCACTGTGTTAGCCCGTTTATAAAAACACGCTCAAGTGTGCAATTTCTTGAAATTCGGTGACCTAGCCTATATGGAAAACGCATTACCTGTCCATTTTTGCATGCAGATGCAATTTTCTTTGCATCCGGGGACCAAGCAATGCATAGGACCCAGTTTTTATGGCCTTTGCATGTGAACAGAGGCAATTCTGTGTCAATGTCCCATATTCTCACTGTCGTGTCACCTGATCCACTGGCAAGTCCTCTAAATAGAGTAATGGTAACAACTACAGATAAATGAAAGTTAAGTGATGGAAGAAAATGCACTAATATTAGGCCTCTGAGCATCACTACAAACAAACCGCATAGTGTACGGGATCGGCCATAGGCCCTTGGGCAGACCTCCAGCGATTTTAATCGCCACGCGATCTGCAATTTGCCAAAAGTCTTCAAACTCAATACTGGTAGACGCGAAACGCACACCACAGATAACTTTCGAAGGTTATTAAACTGCGCTATCTTCGCACATTCAGGAACCCTTACGATGAGTTATAAACAATTGGAGCACTGCCAAATCGCGTCGCTACTGAGATCGCCTGGGGCCCAAAACCATAGCAGCCTTGGCAACAGTTGCCGGCAACCTATGGCCGATCAAGAAAAAATGAAAAGTGTGAAGAAATTAGCATGTATAGTAACACGGATTACCGGCCATCCGGGCTGAACTGCGCAGTAATGACCGGTTCTCCGTGTCCAGGCATACTGGACGAACATCGCGTCACCGGCTGTACCCGAAATACGGCTTGTGGCTGGTACACCAGACATAATGTCTGAAATTACACGTAATCAATCCTAAAAATTACTTTTGTCCTGTATACCAAAAACAGGAAAGAAAGAAGACAACGAAGGAGCAACTGAGAGCACATGTGTAACTGAGGTTCAACTTCTTTTTGTGCCCATGTTCTGAGCAACCACCAGCTGTATTCAAAGGTATTCACAAGCTAATGGGTTAGCCTACCGAGTGGCCATATTCATCAATGAGCCCGGCGGGTTAGCTTACCCAGTGAGTAAGCTGAACCAAGGTGGTATCCAAGCTAATGCGTTAGCTTACCAGTGGATAAACTAACCAGCTGGGCTTAGCAAGTGAGCACGCACAGGTATGTATAGAATAAGACGGATGCTTCGCTCTTAAATCAAATCATAAAATGCCAGGACCGGAACCGTACCTTTTCTGTGTCTATCTTCTCCAGACTTTGTTCAATGCTATTTATGATTTCCACGCCGTCCTCAGTGAAGAAAGAGATTGGTACTGGGTCATCACTAAATGGGTTCGATGGACTCAAGACAAAAAAGAAGAACCGCTTACAAACCTAGTTTCAAGCAGTTGATTGCAAAGGATCTGGAGTTGATTGCTGGTAACCGATGTTGGCAATAAAATACCTGCTCCTCCAAGTTCGTTGCCATCCTCACCTAGGAATCGGACGGAAACCTGTCCTTGCGGACCGTCACCCATCTGGAAAATGGTGATTCTCGGTCGAACAAGCCTCAGCACCCACGAACAAACTGGTTCATGAATTTAAAAAATCCCAATCAAATTTCCATCGGCAACAACAGAAGAGGATTCAAGGCGTGAATAAATTAGTTGTGCGCCTGCACTACAACGTCCATTTCACGCCAATTCACCAATTTTCTTTTCGTCTCTCATATCATTCTGCATGCGTTGTTCGCTCCACGACAATGCTTTTCTCTTTCACCTGCGACACGCATTGCTAACCTGTTGGCAACATGCAACAACATGTAGGGACAACATGTTGTTGCATGTTGCGACATATTAGTCAGGCGTGCAGCAGGTGAGGTCGCAGATCAGCAGTAGCAACAATCGTTGAGTGGACGGTGTTCATGTCGTGGAAGTTCACTTTGAGGGGCTTGCCATACTTCGCCGAA